GAGTATAAGTCAAAGATATTATTTGCTCATGCTGACATGTCAGCTATTAGGTTTATTTAAATAAAACCTGTTCCAATATGAGCACTAAAGAATATCTTTAAGAGTTATATTGTCAGGGACTAAGTCACTCTAATACTCTTGCTCTCTCTGCTCCAGTCTTGTGATATGACAGGTAAAAGGGCTATCAGAAGCTAACTGAGTAAGTTGCCCATTTGTCAGTTGCCCAGTTTGCAATGAAGGGATTTTGTGCTGCATTATTCTGGAAAGTTGTTCTCCACGCTCAGCATTTTGTATAAAGTTCTATATTGAATACAAAGAGAACAAATACACAACAATTGTACAAGCTGAAGATGAGGAAAATGCTATCAATAGCTGAGTGGCAGAGGTTCCAGATGAGCTGCTAGAAAGCAAAATTAAAACTCTTCCTGAACATGTCCCTATTTAGACTTACATAACGTTCCATTAGGCACAAATTTCAGACACTAGAGATGTAACCAGTAAGCCCGGAGCCAAGCCTGGCTAAAGCAGCCGGTGATGCAGGCTTGGTCTGGCTGAAGCAGCTTGTGACATGGTGTTCTGGTCAAGCTGGAGCTGCCCCCCCCGCCAGTGAGATCCCAGTTAAGCACTTAACCAGTTAAACAGACTTTACATCCCTACAAGAGACTTATATTGACAGCAAGGACTAGAACCACTTCTCTACATTGTCAGGTTTTAGATCTTGACTGGTTAGTACCCAAAATCTAGAAAATATCAAATTACCTTGAAAAATCCATATGGCAGTAGAGTAGAAAACCAATAGAAGCAGCGGGGGGCAGGAGGCAGTACTGTAGGCATGGCAATATTTTTTTTAATATTATATAGTCTTTTCCCCTATGGTACTCATCACTGTAGTACCTGAGCAGCTTACCAATACTAATGAATTTATCTGATACTCCTATCATGTAGGGAAGTATTATTTTTCCTGTTTTATAAAGGTTAACAAAAGCAGAGAGACAGAGACTTGTCCAATGTCACATAGGAAGCTTTCAGCATAACTGAAAACAGAAGAGGATTTTCTGGATCCCAGTACAGACAATCTTAACTACCATTTATGTCCAGTTGCCTATTTATGGCAAAGATAAATATCAAAAGTATAAGAAGAGTATAAGTCAAAGATATTATTTGCTCATGCTGACATGTCAGCTATTAGGTTTATTTAAATAAAACCTGTTCCAATATGAGCACTAAAGAATATCTTTAAGAGTTATATTGTCAGGGACTAAGTCACTCTAATACTCTTGCTCTCTCTGCTCCAGTCTTGTGATATGACAGGTAAAAGGGCTATCAGAAGCTAACTGAGTAAGTTGCCCATTTGTCAGTTGCCCAGTTTGCAATGAAGGGATTTTGTGCTGCATTATTCTGGAAAGTTGTTCTCCACGCTCAGCATTTTGTATAAAGTTCTATATTGAATACAAAGAGAACAAATACACAACAATTGTACAAGCTGAAGATGAGGAAAATGCTATCAATAGCTGAGTGGCAGAGGTTCCAGATGAGCTGCTAGAAAGCAAAATTAAAACTCTTCCTGAACATGTCCCTATTTAGACTTACATAACGTTCCATTAGGCACAAATTTCAGACACTAGAGATGTAACCAGTAAGCCCGGAGCCAAGCCTGGCTAAAGCAGCCGGTGATGCAGGCTTGGTCTGGCTGAAGCAGCTTGTGACATGGTGTTCTGGTCAAGCTGGAGCTGCCCCCCCCGCCAGTGAGATCCCAGTTAAGCACTTAACCAGTTAAACAGACTTTACATCCCTACAAGAGACTTATATTGACAGCAAGGACTAGAACCACTTCTCTACATTGTCAGGTTTTAGATCTTGACTGGTTAGTACCCAAAATCTAGAAAATATCAAATTACCTTGAAAAATCCATATGGCAGTAGAGTAGAAAACCAATAGAAGCAGCGGGGGGCAGGAGGCAGTACTGTAGGCATGGCAAGGGACATGGAGCCATGTGCATCCCCAGGGAGCTGTGCCAGATAAGTGCCCCTCCCCCCATCGCTCAGACCCCACCCCGCTTCTGCATTCCTCTCCTGCCCAGACCCCCGAATCCCACTTGGCTCTGCACCCTACACCTCCCTCTAAGACCTTCACATTCAGCCCACTTCTGCACTTTCCTGCTCCCGCACCCCCTCCACCTAGACCCCTCACCCCAAATCCACTTCCTGGGAGCCCCCTCCCACACACTGAACCCCTCATTATTGGCCCCACTCCAAAGCCTAGGGAGGCCCATAGTATCTAAGTGCTTTTCAGTCAAGGGCCACATCAGTGAGGATTTTACTTCTCACTTTTGTGCAGTCCCCAACTAATCTTTCTGTGGGCCAGCAGCCTCCAACCCAAAAGAAGTTCCCCACATCTGCTTTAAAGCTTCACTATTCACATTATCCAAGGTTTCCAACCCAGGCACATCACAAATCACAAAAGGAGTCTTCTAGAGCATGGATGTCCAATTCACGCTGTGGAGATGGCCAAAGTATGGCTGGGATAAATATACAGGCAAAAGATATATAGATAAAAGTGCATTTAACAATTCACAAAACTAAATCACATTTTTAAAAGAGCTCAATTGCACCTGCTCAAACTTTGGTGTTGAGTCTTGGATCGCATTTGTTTCTCAGAGAATGTCAATACAGAATTGCCCAATGAATGAAGGTAACTGCCCTTCTAAAGAGTCAACATAAAACAGCGATCTTAAGGTGGCGCTAACTCTACAGCACAGATCAATGGTGTTATATTTGGAAATTACTTCCATGAAGAGCTGACTAGATACATATGAGTTAACATATACCAGAAGGGTTATAATTAAATATCAGGCATGAAAATTACTACATTTTGGAAGCTTCAAAATTTGAACTACCAATGACTGAGAAAACACCACAGTCTTATTGAACAATAAAGGTACCCAGCTCTCTGCTGTGATTCTGTCACTATCATACACCTTAACAGTGCCACCTTAAAAATCTACAAAAACAAATTAGGTAATTATTAGAAGAACTGATTCTTTTATTAGAAAATGGAAGTTTAACTAAATATATTCTGATATTTGTGTATATATCCTCCCTTTTCCAGTAGAAAAACCTGTGCTGCTCTCTCCTCACTTCAAAACTGGAGACTATGTCTCCAGGACATCTGTCTCCCCTCCTCCTCGTACTTCCCAGTTCCCTACCGGTCTCCCTTTTTCTGGACTTCAATTCAGACAGATTTCTGTTCTGTCTCTTGTATGTGGATCTCCACTTCTTGCTTAATACAGAAATTGCTTCAGCATATAAACCAGCATATATTATAAACAATAACACTGATATTTAAATGTTGCTTTTTGTACCCTTAAAGACACACTTGCATTTTACCTATTCTACAATACTAGAAGGCACATCTCAGCAACTTCAACAAATGTAGCATTTCTGGTCAACCATCTTAAAAAGTAAAGTGAGCCAGAAAAAAAAAAAGAGTGCTAGAGGAGTTTTAACACACCAAACGTAAAAATCCTTTTCTGGATTTCAACCCAACTTGCCAAAATTAATCTCTACCTTACACAGGGACTAGGCTCAGCCTGTCAAAAGTCCTAAGGGGGGGTTAATCTCTTATTGGAGCAGCCCGTGTGTAAGGGAGGTAACTATGGAAAACAATCGTACAACAGCCACCTGCCTTCGAACTTAAGTACGGGGAAGCACCCGCAGGGGAAGGTGTTTTACGAAGCAGCCCCAGCTCCCCCCTGCCGCTGCCTCAGGGCAAGTCCCGATGTGAAGCCCATTTGCAAGTTCACCCCAATGGCAGCTACTTTCCGAAAACCTACGGATAAGCCCCAGCAGCCAGCCCTGACCCGTTCTTCTACAACAGCCACCTGCCTTCGAACTTAAGTACGGGGAAGCACCCGCAGGGGAAGGTGTTTTACGAAGCAGCCCCAGCTCCCCCCTGCCGCTGCCTCAGGGCAAGTCCCGATGTGAAGCCCATTTGCAAGTTCACCCCAATGGCAGCTACTTTCCGAAAACCTACGGATAAGCCCCAGCAGCCAGCCCTGACCCGTTCTTCCCGCACCCAGCCCCCCGGCCCGAAGTTTGGCCCCGGGCCCGGA